GAGTCTCAACCTTAAATTACATTATTTTATTTAATTAAAATTGAATTTAAAATTTTAAAAATTATCTTATTAAATATTAATATATTAAAAAATATAATGAGTTTCTAAATTTAAATATTAATATTTAATAGAATGAGATTTTAATTTTTAAATATAGATTGAGACTCCAATTGTTTTTGAGAATTAAGATTGATACACACTAATATCTTATTTTATTAACTACAAATTATTTTTAATAATTAAAGTCTAATAAAAATTTAACAATTTATAGGACCAAAACAAATTTAAGCGTGATTATAACATAGCTTAGGAAGGGAGAACAAAAGGTATAGTATATTGCAGACTAGGGAGGTGTTAAGTGGAACTAAGGTTATAGTCATAGGTATAATTGTTAGGGTAATATAGTTTTAACTAAAATTTTATCAATTTAATTGTTAGTAAGAACTAATAATTAATAGCATAATTTATATCATCTCTTAACAAATTGAAATCACTTTATAGATAAATGTTTTCATATACTATAACCAACTATTTAAGAAAAAAATAATAAACTAATCAAAAATCAATAAAACTGTATGGCTTGGTCAATGTTGCTTTCTCCCAACTTTGTTTTGTTTCAGAAAATTTGACCAAACCTTGATATCTCTGGAGCTTGGTCAATGTTGCTTCGTACCCGGACATCAAATAGTGGAATGAAAAAGGCTCCAGATATATCAAGGTTTGCTCAAATTTCTAAAAACAGAACAAACTTGGGAGAGAGCTGATTGTAAAGTATAGTCGTCCTGTCAAAATGTCGTGTCTTCACATTGAGATTTGTCAAAATTAAGTGTATGTTATGTTGCTTAGCATGAGATTTAGTAGAAACTGATCAGATCATTGTTATGTTACTCTATTTTAGGCATCGAGGTTTTGTTTAATCCTGTAAGCTGGATGATTTTCCTGATCGTAGATTCTAGAATGAATTTTTTCAAATTGTTTCAGGCTATGCTAATCCATATGAGAATTTTCTCTTGGGATCTATTCATTTCAAAGATATTGCCCTGCCACATCTTCTGCTGTACGAGAATAAATCAGCTAGTGGAAGGCACTTGAGCGTTGAAGCTATTACTCATTATGGTGAGGGACTAGAATTCTTAGTGAACACAGAAGATGCTATTATGCTTGGACTAGAATTTTTAGTTAAAGTTTCTTGTAATAGGTAATTAGATAAACTTTTCAAAATTGTATTTTTCAGCTAAATAAACTCCTCATATTTGTCTTTTGTATCATCTTTGTAAGAATCTTTTTAGTTAATATAAGTTTAATAAACATCTTTCTATCTATTATTTTGTATTAGTTCTTTTTGTAATATCTGAAATCATTGTATGATACTTTTTTCACAAATTTTGTTGTTGTTTACATTCATTTTAATTATTATTAGAGTTATTTTATATTACTTTTAACAATGATTATCATTGTTATAAAATATTACTTTTAGAAATGAATAAAAGTTGTTACAAGATGTAACTTTTGCAACAATTTATGATGTTAAATAATATATTTAGCAACGACAAATAATACTTCTAAAATGAGTTATTGTAACCACTTCATAAATTTTGTTGTGTTATAAAATTTTTAGCAATAATTATCATTATTGCAAAATACTAACTTTAGAAACAATTAGAGGTTGTTACAAAATGCAAGTTTTTGTAAGAACTTATGGCATTATTAAATAGTATATTTAGTAATGACAAATATTGTTGTCAAAAATTAATTTTAGAAACTGCTAATGTTATTACAATATGTAATTTTTTGCAATAAATTATAGTGTTGTTTAATGATATATTTGACAACCAAAAATAGTTGTTGCAAAATATGAATTTTAGAAACAACTAATATTTCTACAATATGTAACTTTTTACAACAACTTATGACGTTGTTTAATAGCACATTGGGCAACCACAAATAATAACGGTAATATTATAATTATTATTTTATTGCTATCATTGGTTTTTACTTACGATTTATAACAGTAGATATCCTTTTTTACTTATGATTTTTTAAATATAGATATAATGTTGTTAATTTTTTACTCACGATATATAAAATTGTAAAAAAATAATCACAATCATAGTTAGATATCTATAATTACAACACATATACTTTTTTATCTGCAGGAATAAACCTTGAGGAGGCAATACCTATGATTTTCTGCCATATAGTTACGGTTTTTGTCAGTAATTAAATGGCAAAAATGCTGTAGTGTGTCCTTGTAAGGTAGCCCTCCCTCAGTTTTCGACTATAAGCAATTCTCTTACTGTGTCAGCCTGTACAACAAGGAACACGTGGTGGGATCGGCACAGGTGGACGGATGAGTTATCTGGATCCTTTTTTATGAGTTATCTAGATCCTTTTTGATGAGTTGTCCTGATCTGTTGGATCTTGATGACTGATGCATACATGTGATGTGAGATATAGCTCCTTTGATAAGTGTTGTGATATATAATTTTTTGTTGATAAGCAATGAGTAGGCGAAAGCGGTATGGATAAGGTTACTGTTAAACTTGTTAATGTAATTAATAATTATTAAAATTTTAATTTAATTTAATTATTAAAAATACATAATAATTAATAAAATAATTAATATTTATTATTTAATATATTAAAATTAATTTATAAATAGATATTTTTAAATATATCATACTAATTATTTTAAAAAATTTATAAATTAATAAAATTATAAATAAATTAGTGACTATAATACTTTATATAGTGATAATAACCTAACCCAAAAGAAAGATGAGATGTCTTGTGGGCACACAAAACTTTGTTAAAAGTTTGCATTCACTGGAGTGGTGATAATTATTAAATTAATAAAATTATAAATAAATTAATGATTTTAACAATTTAAATAGTGGTTGTTTACACCTAAAGTAAAATCAATGGGATGAAGTCATGTGTGAGGTTGGGCCTAATTATTAAATCCATGTAAAGAAAGTCAGTTAGTAGGATGGATTGGTTTAGGCCAATTTGAAAATTTACAACCCACACAGAATTCATAATGAGTTGAACTTAT